AGGCAACTTACTACCTTTTATTAACAAACTGGGTAAACTATTGTAGCTGTAGAGCCATATTGATCAGTTTACAACAAAACATTCCATCAATAAGCTCGTGGATTGGTTTCTTTAAATAATGAGCTTCTTACCTCATTTGGGACAGTCGAAGAATTTTCAGCTGAGTTTCAACCCATAAGCCCAGCTAATTTCCGTTTTTCCAATGTCTTGTTAGCTCTTTCTTGATCCTTTGATCTGGTTAGACGCTGTGACTAGTTGGTATATTAACAGTTGTTGGTTCCTTACCGTCTCAGCTGCAATGGCCATGTTTCATACATTTATAAAAGTTCAATTTTTCTGTCATCTTTTGGAAGTGGTTTATATTCCAAACAGGCTTTTGTCTGCCATTCCAAGCAATATGGTTTTTCAGGTTACACTTGAAACACCTATTATTTTGTGGTTTATTTCCTCCATTCTCAGTGGCTAATTGTCTTTCAGTTCTTATAGACTATGATCAGGAGAGAATAATGTTTCAGTACTTCTTTATCTGATTATCTTCTAACTTCTAGATGGCATTTCAATTGTTTATCCACGACTTTAATAGATTCATGCTCTATCACCAATTAAAGATCTTCCTTTAAAGATGAACGTTTACTTTGTCAGCCTAATTTTCTTACCTTCGTCTGTTATGACATACAGACATTAGTCATGTGCCAATAAATACATCATTTGATGTGGAGTATATAATTGAGCAAGCCTTTCTACATCTTCCAAAAGTTCGGCTAAGGTTCTTTCTTTCCACTGCACCATGCTCTGGAACGTTGCTTTGGATACTTCTTTCAGGTGTGCCATTCTGAATTTGTTGGATAAGGCATATACTTGACAGCTCTCAATTGGATGATTGCTTAATATTGTTAATGGTGGTCCTTTTAAATGAGTGGCAAGGTTAACAGCTTGTTGCTCAGCATTACACCCATTCACCCTGGAAATCATTTTGTATTAGCCTGATATGCCTCCAATGTTACCATTTCATCATAGTCAATTGCTTTCTCAATTGAGCGATGTTATTGAACTGGCCAGCTAAGTTATAGCACTTTACTTGATAGTGTCATTTAACAATCCTTTTTTCCAAACCAAATGTTTTTGTCATTGATTTCTTTTTGGGCTTCTATAATTTTGTCATTACAGTCTTTTTATACTTCATTTGTGTCTTCACTTTGTGGTTTGTCTTTTTTGTACTTGTTAAATTTTGTTCGTGTAATCCTCTGTACATCTCTAATAACTTCATCAATCTTGTCTTTAATCATTTTTAAAAATCTTCTTTAATATTATGTCTCTTTTTCTTAATTCTTTTCTTAACTTCCCTTATCTCACTTTTTGATCTTCTTATAATTTTCAATATATTTATACTTGGTCTTGTTTTTCTATCTCTTTTTTCTTGTCAGTTTTTGTTTTCTTATCTTTTATTTCTTAATCTTCTTTTAATTTTTTGTCTCTCTCTCTTTGTTTTATTTTAATTTTCTGTTTCTCTCTTTGTTTTCTTTTAATTTTCTGTTTCTCTCTTTGTTTTCTTTTAATTTTCTATCACGTTCTTCTAATTCTTCTTCTAATGAATTAGTTTATTTTTCTCTAACGTTTGCTACAGGCTACTTTCACTTGTAACTTAAGTTCACAAACAATCTTTTTAACAGTATATTTCAAACAAAACATATCAACAGAAGTTTTGGATATCTCTTATCTATTAGAGCATATCAAATTAGACAAAAATGATGATAGATGAAAGTTAAAATGTTTATTTTATATTCATGAACTGAAAGTGTTGAAACTTTTTTATGTGTATTTTGTAAAACCCATTTCTAATTAGTTTGTGCAAAACGATTCAAAATACATTCATTAATATTTTATAACACCGAAATATGCTTTGTTCAAAATTTAAGAAGAATAGGAAAAAGGTAAGAAGTTTTGATACTTGGATATTATTATTATATTTTTATAAAATTGTTTGAAAAACTGTACTTTATTATATGCATTTCTAAGTTAGCATGTTAGGTAATATGAAAAGGTTTAGTGTATTTGTTTTATCACAAAGCTAAATACTAGACTATCTGTGCTCTGTCCAACGCGGGAAATATAGCCCCAGATTTTAGTTGTATAAGTCAATAAATTTACTGCTGACCCACCAGAGAACAAACAATGGGTTATTTGTACTTTGCCCACTGTGAATATCGAAACCTGATTTTTAGCATTATAAACTCCAAGAGCCACTGGTGAGCTAAAAAAGAATGTTTGTTCGTTTTTAATACAAAACTACACAATGGGCTATCTGCACTTTGTCTACCTCGAGGAATTTGGAGGAAATGTGAAATATAGAAGTAATCTTTCCAACCTCAAGACGAGCATGGATTGCCCAATTTTTACTTCTGGCCATTCAAATGCTAGATATCCATCTCATCATACAACTCCTGCCCATGCAGTTACATCTTCACTGATTGAGCTATCCATTGCTAGAATTAGTGTTGTCTCTACTAGTATCTCCATTCCATGACTTTGGCTGTGTTGATCAATACTGACCATTCCCTCCGTATTCTGCTACCAATATTTATTGTGCTTAACTTAATACCATATGACTGGGCTCACTCAATATTCTTGATATTTTCAAGTAGACGTATCTCCTCTATATTTCTTTTGACCTCAATGAGCCATGACTTGACCAGTTTCAGTTTCTGCATTATTGCTTCATCTGTCCTCTCTCTCATGTTTTGAAATAGTAGATGATCTGAGTAATGCTTGGCTGGTTAGAATTCTTGTCTTGTATTAATGCTGCAAAAACTAAATTAAAAGCACAGTATACTCCTTTACTATTCTCATGGTTGCATTTTCCATCCTCTGGAAGTTGGTCATTGTTAACTTTGACAATGATGCACATAAGTGGATTCAATACTTCATTCTTGTCATGTCTGTTGCTCTCATAAAATTGATGAGGCTCCTTTGCTGCACTTTTTGGTCTGCAGTATATTTAAGAAATATAAGATTCTAATACGTTTTGAGATTACCATTCTTCAGTCTATCATAGCACCCATAAAAGTGACACAGTTCTTATTTGAAACTATTCTGTCTGCACATGTCAATGTGAAGAGAGAGAGGGAGGTGTCTGTGTGAAATCTGACATCTAACACTCAGCATGCTTTATCTTGTTGGATTGCAATTTTGTTATTGTAGTATGGGGCTGTACTTCATGTTTTACACTCTTTTAGTTTAAAATATTAATTCACAAAACTTATTTTTCTATATAAATCTTTATAGCGTGCTTTTTAATTAGTTAGCAGAGTTATTTTTGTCAGCGAATCGGGTAATAGTTACGGATGGACTCGTAATTTAATTAAGTAGTTGTTTAAGTTCACCAGTGAGTGAACTGATTATAAGTTGCTTTATAGGATGGTGGAGCATAGGTTTGTATTTAAAGTACAAATTATTATTGTTGTGGTGAAACTTGAATGGGAACTTGGATTTTGCATAAGCTAAAGCGAGGATTAATTTTATTGTGTTACATTTTAATTTGGGGAAATTCTCTTTTAGCGATTCTATTTTATTTGCTAGCCTAAGTTACAGGGAAGAGTATATTGTTCAATAAAGTCATCATCAGCCTTTCTAGTCCCACATTAGAAGCATCGCTAAGTGCTTGAAATATTCGGGGCTCGTGCCCATAGGCGCGGGAATTTTCGGTGTACCAGTATGATATCAATCGTGGTTTTCTATTCTGATTTTTAAGGCACCAACTGGGTATACGGAACAATGATAAACAGAATCGGGGGCTTCTGTCCCACAGACATTTTGCTCACATATGTAATCACATGACCATAAACTATATTGCTGAGGTGTTGTTTTGTATTACATGATAGTGCACTGTTACTTACTTTACGAAATGTGTAGATTTCCATTAAATATTTATTCCTTGTGAAATTTGAGTGAATCTTATCCTTTATGTTCCAAATATCACACGCATTGGGAAACACACTAGCGTATATGAGATCTACGAACCTGGTTTTTATGACCCCAGACTTCTCTGCTTTGCAGGAAATCCTCGAGACACCACATTGTTCGCAGTCCCATTGGTGTTTGTGAGTTGCTTACAAGAATATGTCATTTACATACGTATTTAGTGTCACTATGAGACTTTCAGTGCATTAAACAGGTAGACTGTATATTCTTTGAAGAGGACACGACTCAGTGGGGTTCTTGTGGCAAGACCGAGACGTCAATTTTTCAAATCTCAGTAGACAGCACCTCGTGCCCAGCATAGACAAATAATTAATATCCATGAGCTTCATTGTCAAAATTCCAATATCTATTTGAATTTTCAAGGTCAAATAGCCCAACAGTACATTATTGTGATCATTGCATACACTTCTGGATGCTGTGTGTTACTACCTCAAAATTTTAAGCTCTCTAATTATATTATGCTAAATAATATTGTTGTGGGCTATATTTTCAAAGGTTTAATTCTGATGTTAGCTAGAAGCATATGACGTTAAGATAAAAAAGTATTTGTAGGATCAGGCATAGAATGTTCTAGATGACAAAACATAAATTCTAATAACGTTGCGAAATATCTAAATACAAATGTACATTATAAATACAAGGATTAGTAATGCATTGAGTCGACGTTTAGTTTTCTGTTTGTAATGATAGTATATTCAGTTATTCGATAGATTAGTCGTGAAATTGCACAAGTAAGATTATCTTTACATTACTTGTAGTATCGTCAACTAGGTATTTCTAATTGAACATTACTTGTAAACTTTACAACAGTGTACAAGCTTATAAAAGCGTTAAGGGAGAAATAAACTAACATATTATCATTATGCATACTGGTTTTCGAATTATTTTCACCAACAACGTTATAATAATATATGTAGAATTGTATTTGCACTAGCTGAACTGATAAGTTTCTTTTAGTTTTTTATTACATTTTTTTCCCCATTACATCCAAATTACTTAGGCAAAGGATTTTTGCATTTCGATATACTAGATGGCTCTTCATCATTACCATATCACGTTATAAGTGGGCCCTAGTCTACGAAAATAATTTTAGTTAAGTTTTGATATGGAATTAGTAATCCATCTTAGTTTCATGTATAGCTTTATAGTTTTCTTTACGTTTATCTCATCTTCCAGCAGTCTTTACTTCCATATCGCTGAAACGGAAAGAAAGTGTTTCATAGAAGAAATTCCTGATGATACATTAGTTGTTGGTATGTAAATTTTATTTTTAAGAAAAATATGTAATAATATATTAATTATTATAAATGTAACTTGTGACAAGTTGATAACTCATTAACTGTTAGTGTTAGTCAATTTCAACTTGCACAGAACTCTGTTAGTGTTACTCTTGCTCAAAATTATTATGAGGACCTAAATATATATACTAATCAGTAATAACTCCTGATCAGTTACTGAGTTAGGGTAGTACTAGTACTAATAGTAATAGTAACCACACATCTATCTGTTGACTGTTACTAGTATTAGTATAGACAGAACATTTAAGTTTTAAAATTTAACTTCAAGACAACAAGGTATCTGTTGGTCCACTGAGGTTGTCCCATCCATTAAGCTAAACTATAAATTAAAGTATAATAAAAAATTCATAGCCATCCCTTATCATTTAAATATTTAACAAGCTTTTTCTTAGACCACTTAAATTTACTGTAAGTTGTAACCACCACTTCTGTAGATGAGCTATCTCATAGACTAACTGCCCTGTCAGAAGAGTAAATTTGCCTTAAACTGAAGACAATTCCTACCCTCCCAAAATTTATGTTTGTGTCTCCATTCTCACCAATAAGTACAAAAAAATAAGATGGATCAACACTATCAATTTCCTTAACTATCTTAAACATCTCAATAAGATCCCATCAAACTCTTCTTTTTTTTTCCAAGAGAAAACAAATTCAGAAATCCTAACATGTTCTTGTATGACAACCTTTCCATCCTCGTAGCCCTTCTTTGAACTCTTTCCAACAATTCAGTTATGTTATTTCTTAAGAAAAGGATCTCGGGACTGAATACAGTACAGTCCAGGTGTGGATACAGAATTTTTTGAAGGGTCGGGTTCAGCCTCTTAAAAGGCACACATAAAAGAACAATAATATATTTCTGGCTTTAAAATGTATATTTGTCTTTTAACATTCTCAAATGGATGCAGGAGTGTTTCAGTGAAAATTTGCTGGTTCGATCAGTAATCAACATTGAAAATATAGGTTTTCATAACATGCTTGTTTTAAATTTCCACTTATTATCCTACTAAATGCTTCACACTTGGCATAAGATACTGATAAATCTTCCAAGTATCATAATTCTTATGTATTAGGGTAATTTGATATGTGCATAAAGGTAACTTTAAAACAATGTTCATTGGTATTTTGATATTTATCATATACAAATTACACATACACACTTATTGACAAAATAATCAGCATTTCAAAATGGTGTCTATATACAAATTCATATATGAACAAATTCTGGCTTAAAAAAAGAACTACATATATCAAATGCATATAAGAAACTATATAAAAAAATTCACAATTAGTGCACAAAACTGTTAAGCAAATACTAAATCAAATTCACAGTTCATCAGATATTGTTCAGCTCAAATGGAATTTGAATTTAAAAATGGACAGAAAAGGGACAAAATACACAGACACTATAAGTAATGGGCAAATAAAAATGTTAAAAATTGTTAAGGTTTTTTTATTGCTTAAGTGTTTTTATAATAATTGTTTGCATACAACAACTTTAAAAAATGCATATTTTTTAATGAAAATAGTTTGCATAGAAACATCATATTTGTTTTATACTAGATATATATTTCATTACACAAAATATCACATACAATTAGGCCAACAATGATAATAATTCATGTTCTACATAATTTTGGTCTGAATAAATATCTGAAGTAAAATGGTTCAACATAGACTTTGAAACAATAAAACATTTTACAGCATTCTTTGTTAAATGAAGGGTGGTCTTAGTATGAACAATTAGTGAAGCATCTTCAAACTCATTGTTTAAATATTTTTGGTAAAATTATGTTAAAGACAAATTATTTTACATGTATTTTATTAAGTGTGTATACAGGTTCAGTCATTTTTACCAACATTGTAAACACCACAAAAATATTAAATAAATCTAAGTTTCTCCTTTTTCTTTCAAGAACAGCTGCAGATTATTATAACAGAAAATTACAATTATTTATAATAATGTGGCTTCAGAAATTTTTATATTCAATTTAGAATGTGAAATATTTCCATGCACACAAAATAGAATGTCCTTAAACTTATATAGTTTATCTAACTTTCTAACTAACATAGGAATGGCTTAAACCTATTCCCATACCTGGTCAAGCAGAGACCCAACAGCAAGATTTTAAGAAAAAAACTTGCAAATGTTAAAATTATTATTGCACTGTCCCAAACCTTTAGACTCTTTAGCTGTCAATTCAGTGAAATCTTCACCATTTATTGGTTACAAATAATACAATATCAAACATAAGAGAGAATTTATGACAAGTTTTAAAAGCAGGATGCTCAGTGGAAGGCATGGCATTTGACCAAGACTTTATTGCTGATATCTTCATAGAGCAAAAGATTTATCAGTGGCTAATTGATGGTATGTATATACTTTTAAAAATATGAAACTTTTATGTTATTAAAATTTGATCTATAAATTGTTTTAATGCCAAGTTTATTGATATACAGTGATAATATAGTGGTTTAATTAAATTTTGAATGTAACTGTAAAAGGTCGTGACATTTGTACTTTGACCTGTTTGTAGCAAATGGGATAATATTATAGGTATAAAAACAAGTCGGTTACTGCTAGCAGGTAAACCTGTCACTTTACACAGTAAAATTTAGTATACTAATGCATTATGTACATGGATAATTGGATATGGCCTTGAAAGGAGTCAGGTGTATTTTGCTTGGGGTATAAGCCAGGACCCTCAGGTAGTAATAAACATAGTATTTTCCTGTATTACAATATCAACAGCCATAAAGGAAGGAGGAAGGGGTTGTAAATGTACTTGATTGTCCATGCAAGAATAGATCTAAATACGAATAAAGAATTCAAGCAAGGTTGTAAAATTCACAGTGGATAAATTTTGAAGTCAAAAGATAAAAATATTAGGTTAATGGACAAATGAAAATTTTTCATGGACAGGTACTTTCAGAATAGCCGAATTTGAGATTAATAATCAAATGAAAAAAATTGGGAACACGCATTTTTCAAAATACAGTTTGAGGAATCTGTCCATTCAGATGGACAGTTGACAACCCCAAGTCTGATCACAAATGCACTTAACAATTTAACACTTTCCAGTTTCATGCCAATATAAAAATGTGGTCATAAGAATAAGAGTGAAATGAATGCGAAAGATTTTCCTGACACCTTTGGGAAATGGGGATTATACCTCTCAGTACCTCTATAAAATCAGTTTGATGCTACACTAGGTGTAGATTTTCCTCACAAAGGGAAAACGACATAATGAAATTTATATAACGAGTTGTTTTTAATAATGATTATTTTCTTAGATTTTAGAAAATCCAAAAATTTTCAGTCCCCCTGTGGGACAATGGTAAGTGTACGGACTTGCAGCACTGGGGTTTGATTCCCAAGGGTGAGAGTAGCAGATGTCCCAAAGTTGATTTGCTTTAACAAAATAACTTTACCTCACAAAATACTGGTCCAATAAATGGTACTCAACAGTCTTTAAATGACCTATGAAAAATGAAAACAAGGCCACTTTGGGATAAGCTGCCTTTGATTAGTTTTTCTTCTGTTGGTCCTTCGAATGTGTGACATTTTGGATTTTTCCTGGTTGCTTTTGAGTCTGCACATTATTTCATGGCTGAAAAGTCTGGGAGTGAATTTTTAGTTTTTTCTTCTTACACGGATCTCGTGGTTTCTGCTGGAAGGTTTACTTCTCAGTTATGTGAAGGATAGTTAGGCCTTATCTGACATGATGTCGGAACTTCGAGACTTTACCCATTGATCCAGGAGCACTGAGGGTCCTTGAGTCACAATTAGTCATTCAGTTCACATCTTCACCACTATTATCCACCCAAACTGTAGGGTTTTCATCTTCCACAGTTCATCAGAATTTGGAATTTAGTTCTTGTGTAATCTGTGTTTGATTGGTCTGAGGATAATAACAGAGTCAGGCTAGTTCTTCAGAGTTTTTATCCCTGTCAGTTGTTGGGCCTCTACAGACAGGAGATTGGTGTCCAGTCATTGATCTTTCTTGTCTATATTAGTACCCAAATTCTCCAAGATTCACAAATTACTCATTCCTCAATCTATGTTCATTTTTTACTGGCATTGTAGATATCCAAGTTGGTTGTAGTTGACTCCTCTATGAGCTTTGCCATAGCAGTGGTGTCACACCACTATCAGCATTTGTTGTGCACAAGGGTCAAGTACTGTAGTTCTGGGTTTTTACTTTTGGACTTGCATTGACTTAACATGGGTTCTGCCATATATTACGAGTTTTTTTTTCTTGTCACCTTCATTCCATCATACTATGCACACACCATCCATGGACAAATAGTTACTGCTGGCACCATCTCTTCAGTAGTCAGAACATCACATCCTGATTCAATTTTCAGAATCAACCAAGGCAGGCTTCCCTTTCAGGACTGAGACATCTGTTCTTGCTCCAATTCAATGTAATCAGTCTGGGTATTTTTTATTTTTCATGTCATTTCTCAGTTGGGCTCAGCTGACTCCCATTCAGCTCAATGCTATAGAATAGGATGCCATACTCTTACTTGCCTCGCCTTCTCCTATTGCACAGATGGTTCTTTCTCTTCTGGGAATGTGGACATCACTCGATTCCCTTGTGTCTTGGGTTGATAACACGAACAATCCTCTTATTGGTCTTTATGCAACCAAGAGATCATAAACATCTATTCACTAGTTCCCCAGTTTGGATCATTCTTTGATCAATCCTTTTATTGGTCTTTATGCAACCAGGAGATCATAAACATCTATTCACTGGTTTTCCAGTTTGGATCATTCTTTGATCTCGAGGGGGTTATTAAATCGGGATTCTACTATGTTATAGGTTCCTCTACTGCCACCTTGTCCAGAGTTCCATTTATTCATGAAAGCCTTACTTCAGGGATGGGGTGCATATATCAAAAGTCAGGAATTCCAGGGTCTATGCCTGGATGAAGAGGATTCCCTACACAATATT